CAGGTTTGTGGTGCACGAACGCTTGTGCCGAAATCCGTGCTGGGTTGGAGACAAAAGGTCGAATTCCAACGTGCTGTCATGGCGGCTGTTGGAGTAGGATGCTCAAACGCATTTTAGTATATATCTAACAAACATCACCGGCGCCGTCACATGCTTTTTGGCTCAATGGTAACATTACTTCGAGTGTTCTGCCTGTTCACATTTTGAACATAAAGTTTATAATTGTTGTTGTTTCTTTCCTCAAGGCTGTTTGGCCTTTTAATTAATTGCAGTTTTCTGTTGAGCTTAACAAAATGTGTGTTCATGTTATCGAAGGAGAGAGATACAACGTCTCAACTCATCCAGACACAACAATTATTGTGGCCAGTCTGTAAGTACTGCCACCATCAGTTGGCCGATCTGAAAACAGCAGGGAGCAGTTTTTCGAGTGGTTCATTTATTTTTTATAGAGAGAATTGAACCGGAATGATCGATAGCACGTTGGGCTAAATGAAACCAGGCCGCACTACTACTGCTAAAGCAAAGGTTCATTCATTCATTGCTGTTATCATTACTTCCTTCTACCTCCAAGACCCCGCACGCCTTACAAATTATGCTGTGGATCTGTTTCGTACTTTTCCATCGAATATCTACTTAGATTGCATATGAGTAGCATACTTAATGCGCTCATGATGAAGCCAGCTCTCGTTGGATTGTTCTAATCTTCAAGAATGAACAACACATCCCGGAACAGCAAATGGTGCAAAAAAAGACCGTTGACCTATTTGATCAACGATCTAGTTGGTCATGACCAGTCCGCTTTTGGTGATGATGTGCTTTGGTTCCGTGCAACCCAGTCTATCCACTATTCTTGTCGTGTATATATAACCACATACCTTTTCGAGCCCAGCACTGGATTTGAGGATTTATACATTTTCCTACTGCTTCGTAAAATATGTTGTCATACGCCATTTTCATCTTCGCCTTGTCAATCTCACGTCAAACTGAGGCGTATAGAACGTGCTACATAAGTCCAAAGTGATACGTTTAGTTAGAAATAATATTCATACGAAACAACAGATCGCCGAGAAATCAAAGATAAACGACCAAAAGGCTGCCATGTAGTACAGATACGAAAGCAGCGGTGGTGGGGTTCCAGTATAGAACTTTCGGAGCGATCCTTACCGCGCAAACGAAAGTAATCGGTAGGTTGAAAGATACAAAGAGAGGCAAAGCTGGTGAGATTGAACTATGCTACCCATAACGGTCGAGTTCAACCATGACCGCCAAAACAACAGTGGCTGTTGTTGTCCAAATCAACTGATCACCATACATCTTCGGGACAATAATCCCAGGAATCCGTGGAATGGACATTCTACTACTTCCGTACATCTGTAATATAGCTATCAAACAGCTCGACGTATGCAATTTTCACACTAGCTGTTTACGGTAGTAGATCGGAGTTACTCAGTACTAAAGTGAATCGACCAAACTTGGGTTCGAAGAAAACGATGACAGGTTGGCGACACGAGGGCTGTGCCATCACCAGTATTCTGGTCGGTTACACTAACCATCTTAGTTTTTTTCTAAATGATGGAGCAGTTGGACATGAAAGTCTCGAGGACGAGTGTGAGGTTGCAGTTGTCGCTTGCTATTACACACCCAAGATTCTTTGGGAACTATTCGTTCCGTTAAAAGCAAGTAACTGAAAAATAGGAAGTTGAAAGTAAGAACAAGCAAGACAGTGTATTGAAAAGTATAAGTGACTATTCTTCACCGTCTAATACAACTGAAGCTACCCAATCAACCACCGGATTTCGTTCATGCATAAGCGTAAAACAATAGACACAGTCTGAGATTGAAGTGATGTCTTTGGATAGATGGGTGGATATCCTTCTCCTCCCGATGCCGGGCCACACAGACAAACAGCGTGCATTCATCCTCCTCCTCTTCCTCTTCAGTTCAATCTGCGAACACAATCTGTTCCCAGGCCGGATCTTGATCGGTTTGTTCACGAGGCCAATCCAGACTGTTCTGCGGGCCGAGAATCACTCGACCACCGTGGATTCGGCTGTGAAGCAGACTCGAGGCGGCTGCGCGAATTGCGGGCGCTTCGACTTGGAACAGTTGGGTGCGATGTGCCTGACGTAGATCGTCACTGATCCCGGCAAGGAAATCGGTCAATCCACGCGAACCGGCAGATACGGGCCGATCCAACTGGAGAAGGAGAGGAGAAACAAAACGTAGAACGAAGCAGTGGTGAAACGAGCATCGATTTGGGGGAAGTTACTCAAGTGAGAAATGAGCAAATTAGCGAGATGGTTACCACAAAGATTGACAGAATAATTCATCAAGGACGGCAAGATATTGACAACAGGATATCTCCAAGTCGCTGAATATTGACGATTGTAGATCACACAGATTCAACCAACGGATTGTTACTGGGACTGTAGCGGCTTGAGTCTAATCTTGACAAGATCTATTTTCATTAACTCTGTAGTGGTGCTGCTGTATAATTATCAGAAAAGGTGTGTAGTTCGAATATCAGTCTACCCATCCGCATGTGTTTATTTCGTTTTCTATTTTCAGCCCCTAATAAGACCGATTTTACAGACTACAACGCGAGCGGATAATTCTATCTACCCGGTACGGAGAATCATCATTCTGTCCAATCAGACAACGAACCGGGACGTGCTTAATCCCTGCTGCTTCTCGGTCTACTGGCACGATTCTCCGAAAAGCGTTATGTCCACGCATACCACAACCGGGCACACCACGGAACTCCACAACACGATGGGTCGAAGAATCAACAACATATATTCCCATGATCCCGGCAGGCATGCATTTATCGTTAGACTAGTAATGACTACCTAAAGATGCAATCGCGGTTAGAAGCCGCTTCGCAGTAGATCCATTTTTGTGCACATTCGCCCATTCGCCAACAATCAAACACCGTTATCTTTTCTTTTTCAACGCGTTTCTCCACACAACAAATCCACGCTGCTCCAACCACAGAGAGCGTTGATTTTCTTCACCCTAAGTTTTATTGTTTTGTCCCGTATTGGGACGCATCAACAGTCATCCGTAACCCCGGGGTGGGTGCCGAAACTCTTATGTCTGA